GGGGAATTGCTAACTCAGGAGCCAGAACAGTTAGGTCATTTTCAGTAGCTATCGGAAACTATTCATTTCCTTTCATGCAGAATTTAGGGTACCGAGTGCATAAGTTAAATGAAAGCAACAACCAAATACTCAGCCTCCTGGTTACTTCAGTTTTAAGAAAAAAACGCACGGTAGCACTAGTAGGCCTGGAGTATGGCAGTCTGGATTTTATTTTTGTTGACATTTAAGGGAATCTTGTGTGTATCAAAGTTCTGTGCTTAGATTTTTTGTGTATATAAATCTGTTTTATTCTATGTGTATGCAACTTATATATGCGTATATATACATATATATATACATATATATGCGCATATATGTGTATATTTGTGCCACTTAATTTTGTTGACGTTTAAATCCAGATAATGCTGTCAGTTGTCTGGCCAGATTGGCATGTTGCTTTTCCCGACTTTCTTGATCCAGAAAATGCAACGGCAGAATGGTGGATTAACGAATTTAAGCGATTCCATAATTTGGTAAGCGATATCGAATAATACGAGCATCACAGTGTAGCTCAAACGAGTGGAAATGGTCGTGTGTCGTCTTGTGTCAGGATGATTAAAATCGCTTGAACTTTTGGCTATAAGATAGATGAGATAAATTTGACAGGTCAGACACTAAAAGCTTGCGTTTGATCCGTGAATTTTCATATATTCTCAAAATTGCATTCTCCAGCACGTGTTAACAAAGTGTTATTAATAAAAAGGTGAATTCTCCAGCGCCCGAAAAAAATCACTTCCCATCGAAAATTTTCACCAGTACCTCTACTTCGAAAATATTCTAGGCATTCCAGCTCCATGGTACTGGCTTAGAACCAGCCTTCATTTCTAAGATTAGCGACAATTCTCTCAACTTAGCTGTGTTTGCTTTCAGCTTCCTTTTGATGGTATTTGGATTGATATGAATGAGCCAGCCGCTTTTGGAACTAACGAATTCCATCCATTTTATTTTGAGGATCCTGAAAGGCCAGCGAATATTGCCCCACTAAAGTGTCCTATAAATGGGCCAGCTTCCAAATATGACAGTCCACCATATGAAACATGGAATTCCTACAACTACAATTATGCCGAATCTGCACGTTATTGCTTATTTACCCGTTATTACTTTTCAAGTTTATTATCGATACATTATTGTTGCAGAAACCTAGAAAAATTCAGATATCATTTAATTTCTGTGGAATTGCTACTGGTCTTTGGTTTGTCATCGCCTGTACTGTTTTAGCATTTGTCCAACAAAACGGTGTGTTTGTCCGGTATGACAAACCGAGGTGCACAAAGGGTGTATGATACGAAGAATCTATATGGTTTGGCAGAAACAATTGCAACTCAGAAAGCGTTACATGCAGCTACAGGAAAGAGGGGAGCAGTAATTTCCAGGTTTTTTCGGCTTTGTGTCGATTTCTAAACTTTAAAATCCTTGTTTTTTCGTTTTTGTGGAAAATAAAGTTGTTCAAAGTCTGGTGAGCTTAGCTTGAAAGTTCGAAAAAAAGCCACAGCCTTAGAACAGTCTGTACTGTCCATACAGTTATTTTTAGGCAAAAGTTACGAGTTACAAAGATGGGACCAAGGATTTGCAGAATAGCTACGTCAACTATGGCGGATCGCGCATTTCATTTCCTCCCTTTACCGTTTCCCCTCTAGTCGGGCCCTGTCTCCTCATTCTTTTGTCTTGCCTCTTGGCAAGCTTGTTTTCTATTTTAAGGATGTTTTTTTTATTCTTGTTCTAAAATGTTCAGAGTGCTACTCAAGTGAGATTATAATCTATACCTTTCTAGTGTTGCTGTTTCTCCGAAATTTCGTTCGTGAACAAATTGCGTATTCGTTCAACATAGTCGCGCACAAATTGGCTTAATACATTCAGATCCACATTCGTTTCATCGGGTCATTACGCTGGCCATTGGCTTGGTGACAATTTTGCTAGCTGGGATGACTTGAAAGTTTCAATTATTGGTGTGCAGGAATTCAACTTATTTGGAATCCCATATACTGGAGCCGATATCTGTGGTTTTAACGGCAATACGACAGAGGAACTCTGCTTACGATGGCAACAACTGGGTGCTTTTTACCCGTTTTCCAGGTTCTTTTTTTATTGTTATAGATCTGACGTTTGACAGAAGATAAACGTAAAAAGTGCCTTAGGAAATTTTTTCTTTTGAAGAGAAAGACACTCTTGGAATGTTTTGGTATTGCAACTAGGTACTTTCATCACTAGGAAAAGCAAACCGGAGGAATGCTTTTTTGTTTTTCCTTGTTAATCATTGCTCAGTTCAGGATCGTAGGGCCTGTCATAAGTACACCTATATCTGAGAATATCCCAGGAAAGTCTCTAACATGGAATGACTACATCGATTATCAGTGTAATCTTGGCGTTCTTGATAATTACCACCGTAACGAAACAAAATTATTGGCGACTCGCATTAGGCGGGCGCGTGCGATCATGCGTTTTTGCAGTATTTCGTGCTGTAGAAAGATCGCTTGGAATCCAGTGGTTAGAATTTGTGAAATACTGGTTCTCGAAATTTGGGAAGTTAATTTTGCAACTAAGTGGTACTTGGACAGGGAATAATCCTTCAAAATTCCAACTCTCACTTTTCTGGTTCTCTAGTTAGCAATTTTGCCGCCAAAACCTTCGCGGGGCTGAACGTGACCTGAGGGCATACCTGGAGGCTGAATTTGAAATCTTTGAGTTCTATGTGGGCGTGAAACATAATCTCAAAATTTCAGTTTTTTAGCTTTTCTGTTTCGCGAATTAGCGATTTTCCCGCCAAAACTTTCATCCTTTCATACGCGGGGCCCAGACTTGCGTGAGGACTGGTACCGCGGTCCTGGGGAGGGACTTTGTCGGGGAACTCACTGGCAAAATTTTGGCGCCGGAGATTGCTTGGTTGCTGTGTTGAAATACCGGGACAGACGCACACACACAGACACATACACCCACACACATACACGTGCCGGGGTCGTCACAATATGCTTTTTCGCATTTGCATACAGGCCAAAACGTTATTATTACTACTTTTAGGCTACTAAAGCGCTGCAGCAGCCAGCAAAAACGCAGATTGTGATAGCCTTCTGTGTGAGTGTGTGTGTGTGTGTGTGTTCGTCTGTCCGGGTATTTCTACTCAACATCCAAGCAAGTCTTGATGCTGAAATTTTGCTAGGGTATTCCCTGGCCAAGTGTGATACTGGGACGTGATATTATCTATCACGCACGTTTACGTCTCATTTATGGGCACATGAAAACTTTGGCAGGAAGACGCTAACTTATGAACGAGAAAAGCTAAAAAGCTTTGATTTTAAAGGGATGTTCGCTGCCCAAGCACGCCGAAAAAGTTTTAGATTCAGCCTCCTAGTACTTTTGCATCTTACGTGCGGACAAATGAAAATTTTGTTGTCAAATTTAATAACATGGGGCCAGAAAAGCTAGGCAGCCAGTTAATATGTATTTTTTTTATATATACAGATGCAAAAACGCATAATGTGACGACCCATTGTGTGCGTGTGTGTGCATATTTGTGTGTGTGTATGTACGTGTGTATGTGTGTGTGTATGTGTCCGAGAATTTCAACTAGGCAACCAAACAAGCTCCGGCGCTAAAATTTGCCGGCGGGCCGCTCGGCCAATTGCCACACCTGGGCAGTGGCACCAACCTTTAGGCAGGTCTGAGCTCTGCGTACAAGCATGTGAAAGTTTTGGTGGGAAAATTGCTAACTCGGAAACCACAAAAACCGGGGGTTGAAATATTAACGGGATGTTCCTCATTCACGTGCAACTTGAAGGTTCCAATTCAGACTACAGGTATGCGTAGTTATCACATACGGACACTCAGAAGTTTTGGCGGAAAAATTATTTATTGAATTATAAAAATTACTGAACAGTTAGCTCATTTTCAAAGAAAGAACGTTTGGCGGAATTTATTGACTGTCTTTTATGCTAAATTTACGATGATTTACGCTAGTAAGCGAACAAAGTAAATGTAAAGCGTGACCCATTCATACAGTTAACGAACTGATTGCTTCAAGTTTATTGCTAAAGCGCATGGTTGCGCCGGCAACCTTGTGCACCCCGGTCTAAAGTTCAAAAACATGTTTTCCGCCCACATACTGACAAAAAATTTCAAATTCAGTTTCTTAGTACGCCTGGGTTTGATGAACAACCGATTACTGAATGAATTAGCTGAAATCATGTGCGCTGGAGGTTAAGATTTTATACGCCACGTGATGCAAGCTGCCTCCCCCACCACCACCCCCGACCGGCGCCCTTTTCCCCTTGAAAAGCCAAAATGCGCTGAATTGTAACGCAGCCAACATGAGTCCGCGAGTTGAAATGTGAAGCAAATGCTTTTGACAGTCTGCTTGCTTCATGTTTAGCGCAAAAATGCATGATCACAACGGCAGCCCTGGTGCGCTCCGACCTGGGTTTTTTATGAGCGCTGTCCAAATATCTTCGAAGGCTAAGTTCAGAAAATTTCAGTGTTCCGGTTCTTTAGTTACAGAGTTACGTTGGACTTCACTTTTTCATAGGTAAGCGGAAACTTGAAAGTTTTTTTGTGTGTGCCTGCCCAAATGTGTTCCTGAGTCGTGTTTCGCAAATTTGGGCACTCTGGCTGTCATGGTTGCGGAGTTATGCCAAATTCCGTATGATAGTACGCGAAGGGAAAAGTGGATATTGCTTTTATGTGCCCGTGCTTGCAAAATTTCAACGCTCCGACCGTTTCGGTTGCGGAGTTCTGTCAGATTTCACATATTTGTACGTGGGACATGAAAATAGTGTAAAGCTGTTTTCATGTCCACCCGCCCAAATACGGCCGCTAACCATGTTTAGAAAGTTTCAGCCTTCTATGTGCTGAAGTCCTGAAATTACAAAATCGTCTACGCCAAATTTCACGTTCCCGTGCGTAAGATGCAGGGGAACTGGAAAACTCGATTTACCTCTACGTACATATCAGTGGACATCAAATAACGTTGTAAAATTACAACTCTCTGCAGCTTTCCATTCAGTCTAATTCCGGAGTTGGCCTGTTGCTGATTTTAATTTGACCTGTACGTTCTTTGGGATAAACGTGGTCAAGGAGCATCATCGTAAGGTCTCAGCCTTTTAACATGCTTGCTCCCGAAATGACTTTCTCGTTAAAAAAATCTTTCACGTGCCAGTACGTGTGAACCAACCGCAGGCATGAGTGTTCATTTTGCACACAGGAGCCTGTACATAGGTGAAGACTAAGTTGCGAAAGTTTCAGCCTTGTACCTTTTGTAAGTCTGGAGACGAAAAATCGGCACAGACGCATACACACTGACACACAATGTACCCTAAGAATTTTTTTAATGCGTTTTTATGCGTTTTTTGCAGCTATGCAGTGCAAAAACGCATATTGTCGAGGGGTTGTCTGTGTGTG